TGGTCCCCTAACTATTCCCGGCAGAGGCATCGTGGCCTGATTTGCCCAGCCAATAGCCCTAACACTACACTTCCCTTTTAATGTGTAGGCACAGCCTAACTCAAGTTATCTTGACCATCCTGCACAAAGGGTGTAGAACTGTTATTATCTACTCTGCATTTCATGGGTAGTCTTTGAGTCAAAGAGAGTTTAAAGGATTGGTTTGCTCTAAGATGAAGCCAGGATCACTGTGGTGGTGGATTTCTTATTTAAAAAAATCAAGAATCAGACCAAGAAATTAATCAGATTGAATAATTATTTTCTCAGACATCTAAGAAAAATATTAAATAGCAGAAAAAGTACATTTCCCAACTCTTCTCCTAATATACAACTTTTAGTAGTAGGACATTATAGGAGTAAGCAAAGAACTCTAATTTTAACCCAGTTAACAGGGTCTCTCAGTTGCTACAGTAAAGTTAGGTCACAACTTGCAAGAATCCCTAAGCTATTAAGAAGCAAATACTGGGCTCATTCTGTAATTCACACTCCTAAATCATGAGCAATACATTTGGATCCAGCTATACTCCCTAATACCAGTAGGGGGGTTTTAGGATTGGATATCCAGAGACAAAAGTAAGAGAACCATTGTATTCAGTCATCTTCCCTTTGGAGTGTGATGGAGAAGTCTTATTTGAGGAAAGACATAGCATACACTCCTCTTTCTTTCTATGTGTTCTGGATCAATCAAAGAATAATCCATTTGGCTTCTGTTGTATTGAAACGATGCCTCAGAATGCCAGAGCAACTCCCATATAAGGATGTGCCAGGAGACAAAGCCTTGGCAGAGAGGTGGCTGGAAAGGTTAACAAAGACACTGCCCCTGGCCACCTCTCCTGAGCAAAAAGGAAAGACAAGCAAAAACATGAAGAAAATCGGTTAGATTTCTTTTCAGTCACTGTGTGTTTTAAAGAGGAAACAAACACACTCTCTGAGCTCTCTCCTTGACCCCTTCAAATGTTCCCATAATGATCTGTGTGCGTTTCATTGTTAGGCCATTCCTGACCTTGGGGACTTGCAGTCATGAATGTTTTGATACCAGACGTAACCCCTTTGGTGGGGTCAAGGGACAGGGAGTGTGTGTGGAAACAGTGTGCTGGAATATAATTCCCAAACCCCCCAACATGCCCAAGAATAACAAGACCATTAACCACTGACCCAAACGCTGGTGAAATTCTATCTCCACATCTCCCACCAGTAAACATGAAAATCCCATCCCTGAAAGGCTGAAGGAAAGTCTCCAATGAGAGGACCAGGGAGAAGGAGAGGAGGAGGAGAAAGGATAGGTTGGCAAAGAAGTCCAGGAACTTCCACACTCTTCAATCCCTAGAAAACTTTTCCCCCAGTGACAAGTAAGCAGAGATATGTTTCACTAGCTGGGAAAAGCAAATAGCTCTGCACTTTCTAGGATAAATGCTTTAATGTGCAGAGTGCGTTTTTGTCAGTTTTCTTAAGCTGGCCCCATGGCTTCATCCTTATCTCACATGGTTCTCCAGATCCGTCACTCTGCACCAGCCTCACTGGCCTTGTGGGTTTTCAGATTAGCAATGTTAATTCCTACCACACTAGTGATATAGGGGAATGAAACTCTAGACCTCCTATGTCCACAAGCTCATGTTCTCTAAAACTGAAGGACGAATTTTAGGAACAATGGAGTGAAGAGTAGAATATATTTATTGAGAGAAAGAAAGCTTCTGTCTGAGAGAGAGACAGAAAGGGACCCCAGCAGGTTGCCCAAGACTGTCTTTTCTAGGGACTTTTATAGAGTAAAACCATGGGTTTAAGTGGGGGTGGGGGGACTGAGAACTCACAAGGCAGATGGGCATAAGGTGAGACATAACTAGAGTTAGCCAATAAGATTAATAGTTCAGGTAAAATTGATTACATTAGGGACAAATGGGAAAGCAAGTCACTTAGGAAGTGGGCATTCTTAGAGTTATGACCTTTCCCCTAGAGGGGTGGGATAGTGACTCCAGGGTGATAGGGAACTAATTAGAATATCAGCCTTTAGGATGTAGACTCTTTTTTTTTTTTACATTCAAAAATTTTTTTTATTTAAAAGGAAAAAGAGAAAAAAAAACAGAACAAAACAAAACAGTGTAAGGGTACAAGTAATACAGAACTACAAAAAGAAAAAAAAAACAGTAAAATATCACCAGTTAACAGATTACACACTATCATCTTTGAAATGGTGATTCAGGTCACAGGATCAAAGCATACAAAGTGAACATTCAAATAGAGAAACTGCAAATAGTTGTGTTCAATGATCCAATCAAAAATATTAATATGGTCATCTATTTAACACACCTAAACACACTTGCTGTTGTATCCTTTTGGGCACTTTTTTCCCCCCTCTCTTTATTACAACAAAATTTACACATTTTGGGTTTTATTGCTCCCATAGATCTTATTACTTTTTTTTGTAAGAGAATAAAATCAAACATGATAAAACAAAGCTGTCAGTCAAAACCAAGGATAGACATAGCACATAATGTAAAAACAGAGTACAAGGTTATCAACAATGGTTACCATAATGCCTCTTGCTTCCTTAAGAATTGTCCATCTCATTAGATATTATAAAGTTGAACAAAACAGTAGAGAACAAGTCCAATAAAACCTAAACATTGTAAACCTTACAGAACTTCAAAAGAAGATAATAGTCAAACCAGAATGGGCATCAAGTGAATCTTATTGCCTTCAAAGTAGTTGCCTATACTCTGATACTTAATACTATCATACAGAGCGGAACAGAGTCTAATCAGTCAAAACAAGATAGTGGGAGTATTACAGGACATCAAATCAAGTTATTAGGAAATCAAGAAGGTTACTATAATATATCCTGCTAGTTTCCCCCCCCCCCTTAGTTTAAAAAAGAAAAAAAATTGGGGCTGGGGATTTAGCTCAGTGTCATAAGCGCCTTGCAAGCAGGCAGTCGAGAGTTTGATCCCTGGTACCGATAAAAATGAAAAAGACAAAAAAAAATTTAAATAATTTTTTAATGAATAAGGGAGAGGTTGAGATAAAAGAGGGCTTAACAACATAACAATACAGGTCAAAGCATGACAGTTTCAGCAACCTAGTGCTTCACCACCAAATAACCCGATTTAATAGTAGTTACCATAGTGTCTTTTTCCTTGAAATATTTGAATATAACTTCATATGCTATAGCATCAAACATATCAAGACAGTGTAACACCATGTAAGTGGATGAAAGAATTGTAGAGTATTTAGAACCAGCTAACAGAAAAATGAACAATGGTTTCTATATTGTCTCTTTGCCTGTAACAATTTTTGTTTATACTACCACATATGATATGTAGACTCATTTGTTTGACCCTTTGTCTTGAGGCCTGGGCCACAGCAGGAGGTGTCTGTCTCCCTGCAGTTGCCAGGTATGTGCACGGGCTCCACTGAGGACCTAGCCCTGCCTCACTGCCTATATATTTACCTGACTGTGCTGCCTGCAACACTAGGACTATGATTTGTTTCTTTACTGAAACATAACCCCCAGATCATTATAGGTGCTCTCTTATTCAAATCTTACCTTAAATGCCACCTTCCCAGAGAGGTCACCTGTCTAATATTTTCTCTACCATCTTCTTCTTTCTTTTGTTCTTGGCAGTCACTAGTCTCTAATCTGAGCTTGCTTAGGTATGTGGATATATATGTATGTATATACTTATTGTTTATTCCTCCCAGCTAGATGTATATTCCAAAAGAATAGGTCCCATGTTTGTGTTTTTATTGATGTTTCTCCTAACCCTATTGAAAGAGTTTTGGCCCAGACAGGACACTGTAGCCAGTAAAGCCAAGGAGCTCCTATCTTCCCCACCCCTAGGAATTTACCTATGGTTCCACCCCAAATCAAGGCTACTTATGTGCCTCACTCCACATGTTCCAGGGAGAGATTGCTGACCCCGGGGTGGAGGTTCCGCGCCCCAGGGGATCGGGGGTGTCTCTCCCTGCATTCTCAAAATAAAGGTCATTTATATTTCATACTTCTTATCTTTTCAGCTGCTGCCGGTCCCCCACAGTTCTATCACCTATAATGTTTTTGGAATTTGTTAATTGGATTGATGGATAGATAAACTGACAGAAGATGGATAGTGTGATACAAAGAGGGTAGACACAGATGGATAGACAGAAGGATGGATAGATGGACGGTAGATGGACATGATACATGCATAGTTGGACATGGATGGATAGCAAGTTGGATGGATAAATGAATATAGTCAAGAATTTTACTTTAGTATTTTATCCATCTTGGCCAGATTTTTTGCTCTACTTCCAAGGCCAAAGAAACCAAACTGGATACAAGAACTATAACTAAAGCCAGGGTGGTTATTCATTTGAAAGAGTGAAAAAGAAATTATAACCTGCGGGGTATGAATGGTGCACGCCTGTAACCCCAGCACTCAGGAGATTGAGGCAAGAAGATCACTGCAAGTTTGAGGCTATAGTAAACTCAAGGCCAGCCTAAACTACACAATGAGACACTGTCTCAAAAGAAAAAAAAACTATCACCTTCAAGCTTTAAATGGGCACCTGTTCTCTTTCAAAATAGCTCTTTCTGTTTTGATGCACAATGATACTTCATAAATAGTCTGTGGCTCATTAAACTCTCAGAAAATTCCTAGCTAGCAGGCTGAGAGAAGTTTCTTGACTATTTGTCTTTTTAAAGATAGAAAACTAGGGGCTAGAGGTTTAGCTCAGCGGCATAAGCGCCTGCCTTGCAAGCAGGCAATCGTGAGTTCGAACCCCGATACCGATAAAAAGGAAAAAGACAAAAAAAAAAGATAGAAAACCAGGGCACATGCTAGCAGAATGAAATGGAAATTCTGTGCTAGTTTTACTCCAGCCACTGGATTTGTCCTTCCTCCTGATTTAAATGTACTATTAAGTGTGGCCTTTTAAATCCTGTGCCTTCTAGTTAACTTGTTTGTTTGTTTGCTTGTTTGTTTTAGAATAACCTTAACCTGGAAAGTAACTCCGCATCAGAAACCAGCTTTCCTCTCTCCAAAGAAGTACCAGGGGCACCTCTTGATCACCAAGCTGCACATCAGCCCTTCCCCAGACAGCAATTCCCACCAGAGACTGGGCACCCCTCCTTGCAAAGAGATGGCCCCAGATCCTTTCTCCTGGACTTGCCAAACTTTCCAGATCTTTCCAAAGCTGATATCAATGGGCAGAATCCAAATATCCAGGTAATTTTTGGCAGCCAGAAGGTAGAAGGACATGAAACAGTCTGCCTTTTGTTTCCTGATCAATTCCAATGGAAACTGCTTCCTGCCTTCACTTTCTTTCTTAATCCTTCACAATTCCTGCTGCTGATCTTGTTACTGCCTTCAGAATAGTGCTTTCTCCTCGACAGCACTCCCGGTTGTGGGGTGCACTGTTATTTTATTTTAAAAGGCACTCAGAAAATGAAAACACAACACCTGTGGCATAACAAGGGTTAGAAAATGCTTCCTGATTTCAGAGACAAAACACATAGTGCACCCTGAAATCGAAGCAATGTTGTAGCTATGGGAAAGGTCCGTCTGGCCCGTGAATGCAACTGGGCAAAGCACTCCGAGAGGTGCTTCCTCTCAGGGCCTCTCATTTGTCTTCAACCCCAGGATTCCTTCAGGAGGGGATCAGCTCCAGGTGCCCTAAAGTGTGAGTGACTCACTAAAAAAATAACCGATGAAAGGAAGGGAGGTGAGAATGGATGTTCCTAAGAAACAGGTGAATATTTTCTGCTAAAATGAGATTGGATGAAGCAGAGAGAAATGGAGGTGTGGAAAAGAGCGCCTGGAGCTGCAAATAACCACACTGCTGTGCACTGGAACAGGCCCATTTGCTTCACAAAGTATACTCCCATCTGATTTGATTGCGCAGGCACCCTCAGGAAGGACACAAAGCACCTGTCATTTTCCCCCAATGCCATAAATAACGCAGCAGGCACTCTGGAAACTACCATTTAGTTCATTCAAGGTCATGTGGCTGGGAAACAGTCACTGTTGGGCTCAAATTCAGGCTCTCAGGCACAAGAATACTCAGCCCCTAATCTATTCTCCAGAAGCCGGTTCCTCATTGAGAATGTTATGCGTGCCTCCCTGCAATTCTCCCCCAAAGACAGCACTTGCCTTGATGGCAGAGCGGGGTGCAGCTTCCTGGGCCATCTCGCCCTGGCCTAGCTGCTGTCCTCATACACCTGCTTCCATACTTCTAAGTTTTGCTCCTGATTCTTTTCATTTGTAAAGACAACTTTTCCTTATTTTTTCTCTCTTCCCCAAATGCCTTGCCAGTCAGCTTATATGACTGAAATCTCCTGAATTTGGTCTCAGAGCAATAGGTCCTTAACAAAGTTTGTCCTTTCCCTCTCCCTCTCCCTCTCCTTCTTCCTTTCCCTCTCTCTCTCCTCTTCATGATACAGTTCTAGATCAAGCTGGATGACACATTTCACTGAGAACACAACCCAATTAGAATATATCAACAGCGCTGCTGTGTATAAAACACTGTATTAGGTTACAAGAAATAGGTGTCAGTGTTCCAGATACTGCCTAAGACACTGCCAGAGGGGTCCTGGAGATGGAGAAATAAGAGCCCTATTTTTCGAGAGGGGCAGATGTCAATAGATGAAAAGAAGCAGAGTAAAGCTCTGTGGATGCTACAGAGTGAGAAATGTTTTGGAGGTCACAGTGACTCATGCACAGAAATCATCACATCCCCCAGTTGATATTTCTGATGAATCTTGTCTTACACTTACTGGGTAGAAAATTGCTCCTTTTGCTCTCCTATCTCCTCTGCAGGAACTGGCCACAGAACACTGTTAAAGTATAGTGGGTCCACATTGCATTGCGGGACATCCCAATTGATGGAAAGAGGTGCCTGCATCTCCACACCTCTGCTCCAGTGAGTTCCCTATCAGAGTTTCCTCCTCAGGAAACAGTGGTTCATCATTTCTAGATTTTATGGTTCTAGGACCAGGCAGCCTCACCCCCAAGGGTGCTCAGGCCAGGCATCCAGACAATCTTAAGTTCCTACTGCAGTAAAAAATACCTAGAGGTAGAGAATGTCACTGTGGGGCTAATGATGAGGACTGAGCTATTAAAGCAATAGATTTAAGACCCCTGCTATGAAGTTTCAGGAAAGCACCTAGATGTGGGACACCAGAAGCCTGCAGGCTTTTCCACTGTTTCCACATTGAGAAGTTCCTGGGTGCCTAGTTCTAGCTAGGAATCACATTTAGAACAGACTTTTCATATCCTTTTCTGCCTCCTAGACGAATCCATCAGTCCAGAAATGTCCATCCCTCCCCAGACCACACTTGACCCTTGTGAAAATTAAGTGCTAAGAGGGAACAGTGGTGCAGAAGAAATTGGGAGCCACAGAGCAAAACATCCAGATAACTTCCCCTAATAAAAGATAGGGGACAATCAAGAAGTGTTGACCTTCTGTAGCCCAGGGGACAGACCGTGAGGAGTCCAGCAGAGCAGCCAAGGTGACAGCTCATCGTTCATCATAATCAACTGAGTCATGGAGCCAACCAGGAAGTGAGGAATCCCTGACTTCGGGGGTGGGATGGGGGGAGGAGGATGGAGCTATTGAAGTTGCCAGGTGTGGAAAGAACCAGAGTGAGGTGGAAAACAGAGAATAAGCATAGATGAGTTATGAGAAGGCCATGCTGGGCCATGGATGCTTCAGTGAGAGGGTTTGTCTGGCAAAGCCCCTGGACTTGCATAAAATGCAGCTTCCCCATGAGCAGTTGCAAGAGGATAGTGATGAATGGAAACCTTATAGTTTCAATCCCCTGAGCCTCCAAGCCACTTGCTGATATAGACTTAAAACACAGGAAGTCCCAGCCAGTGCTTTGCCTGCACTGTGTTTTATCTACGCTTGGCACAGGAGCAAAAAGCTCGTCTCTGGGTGGCACTTCTGAAAGGGATTCTTTGGAGGACAAGGGCAGAAGGGGAACAGAGCCAGCTGTCAGAGGTCTCATATTTTTCTGGACTTCCCTTTGGATACCAAAGACCACCGCAACTGCCAAGAGTAAAGGCATCCTCTAGATCCAAAAATCTAGGTTATTGGCAGATGGTATTTGAAGTGGGTGCAGCTCTTACATAGATACTGTTAAACCCAAATATTCCCAAAGCCTAGGCTGACACCTCCTGTTTGCCTGGCTGAGTTACTGCTTTTCACTTTAGATTGTCCCTGTATCTATTAACCTTGCAAGTCAGTACAGAGCAGTGGATACACTGATCTAATGATTTCTTGGCTCTAAAAAAATTGAGTTTTGTTTCTGGCTTGCTGATTCTAGATGATCACAAAAGGCTAGCAATGGTCATTTCAAAAGATGTTCTAAGAAGAGAGGGAGCAGCTGCCGCCCCTAGGATCCACAGCCCTATGTCTGCGCATGTGTGAGCTCACAGTGCCAGTTGCTGCAGCCCTATGCCCCACTGCACTTGAGTAACCCCACTCCCTGGTGGTCTTTAAAATGAGAGGAGCTTGCGCCAAGGAGGGTGATGGCTTCCATGCTGGCAGCACTCACCCCTTCCTTAGAGCACTACTCTTTTGTTGAAATTCACTGGTTTGACACAGGGCAGATTCAGCCAAGCAGACATCCTCGCTGGTCACTGCAGGCCCATCAAAGCGTCTTCTCTCCCTGGGTAGTCGAGTGAAGACAGGTGAGGGGGGCACCCATGGAGACTTCCGCTGCCAGGGCCCCTGGCCTCATCTGCTGTCTCCCCTGGCAGCCTCCCCCCTTGCTCCTGGCTGGGCCAGAGCAGCTGAACAGCAGTGGAAACCCCTTTCTCTGAACCCCACCACTTCTCAAGCTCCTGAGGTGCCTCCCACACTCTGGGGCTGAGTCTTCTGTCCCTCCGATAAAAAAGGCAGCGCCTCTCCAAAGGACACTGCACGGTTCCTGCCAGGCTGGTGTCCATCAGGCTTCTTGACTTTTAGATTAGAAAATCCTTCTAAAAGCCCCAACATCTGCTTCCGGAGAGCACTTTAAACTCATGTCAGGCAGCCTCTGGTCTAGTGAATCAGACTCTCCATTTTAAGCATGGCCTCCAGCTGTGCAAGTGAATGGGAAAAAAACAAAAACAGTAACGCCCAAAACAGAAATGGCCTCAAACTCCTGAACTGAATTTCATCTCCATGAATTTGAAGCAATACAAGAAGTTGAGTTTTGTTTTAAAAAAAGAAGTCACTTGGGAAAGTGAATAACAACAAGCGAGGCTTGAACTTTAGAATCCTTGGTTGGGTTTTTGTTCTTCAGCTGATGGTTAGATAGCAAAGACAAAAATTCCTAAAATAAACTCATTATTAGGCTCACTGCATCTATTCATTACTACAGTCACTACCCATAACCAAATAATTCTCTTTTCTGGATCAAAGTGAGGCTAGAATTTATTTCAACCAATGCGCTTATTTCTTTTCTTCCATGGATAAGGATTTAAAAACAGTCCAGGAAGACCTTTCCTCCCTGGTGGGAACTATGCACGTGGCCACAGGCCTTTTGATGTAATCAGAGGAGCTGACCTGGGCTACAAATGTCATATGTACTTCTACTCTTGATTTCCTCTTTCCTTTTCTGCAGGATACTTTTAGAATGGTGCATCTGGCTGGATGAGGGCTAAGAAATGTCTTTGCCCAAAGTACTGAGCCACACACCCATGGGTACACACCTGCACCTCTCAAAGGCTCATGGGAAAGCTGCTCCCCATAATATGGTCGATGGCATCACACCGGCCCTCATCAGGGGTCTGGCACCACTTGTAGTAAACCAGACTTGGGCTCTGTAGCCTCCTGTGTATTCTTTAACCTCTCTGTGCCTCTGTTTCCTTGTCTATAAAATCAGAACAGTGGTGGTACCAATGAATATACTGTGTATACCTGTGCAGTATAAAACTATACTAATGTACGCTTGTCTCTGAGGCATGGATGACAGCATCCATGAGAAGTGTGTAGCACAGGTATGTGATTAGCTTCCCACATCTTTTGGTGCTGATGCTGACTGAGGCGAGAATGGGAATGGAGATGACAGAAACATCTACAAAGCTAGGAATCAGGGCTTTTGAAAGAGTTCCCCTCCTATGACCATCTTGATCTGTGGTGTGGGAAAGCCCAGAAGAAACAAATACACTAAGATGCTTGGCTTGTATGCATTGTGGATGAGAAAGGCTGGAGAGCTCCAGTCACTTAGCCCGGAAACATCCACACCTTCAGCTCTTTCACATGGATGAATGTTCAAGGCATCTTCACAAAGCAATTCCTTGATGAAAAAAAAAAAATCACATAAATAGAATGAAAGCAACAGGAAATGTAAAACCAATCCCCACCATTTGAGCAGTCATTGATCACGCTCATTAAGTCTTTTTATTTGGATGCCTATGAAATTTCAGGTTCAAGGTTAGATTTCTTCTTTTGATATCAGTATGAAGTTTCTACATTGTTAAGTGTAGAAAAGGGTGGATCCTGAGACTTGTTTTTTGTATTGTTTTATAATTCATTTGGGGCAATGGCTAGGAATTAAAGAGGAAAAAGAAACCTCTAAGCTGTTGAGATTTAGTCACTGATATAGTTTTTGGAGTAAATTCTTATTTTGCCCCTTCTTGCCCAGCCAGGCAAGAAATCTATTTTGTTTGGATCTGAGGAGCAATTTGGGAGAAAAGAATCGTATTGATGGTAATAGCTTGAAACATGGAATTGTTTTTATTCCCAGGTTGGAGAAATTGCAGGGCAAGTTTTGTTTAAGCAATTTCTTCGACGCCAGTCTGAATGCAAATAGAATACCAAAACTCTTGGGCACTTTCCCCCTTATCTCTTACCCAGGGACTGATTTCATTACCATAATTTCAGAGTTGCCTGGCTCCTGGCAGCCTCTCCCTACCAAGCTCCTTAATAATCTTGCAGGGGATTGTTGTAGCACGGTTTGTCTGCAGGCTGAGAGGGGAGGGGCGGGCTGCAGAAGAGAAAGGCTCAGCATTGCCAGTCCCTGCCCTCGTTGGTTCTGCACCACCCAGCTGCGTGGACCTTTTGCACTTGTCCTTTGAGGGCTCCCCGTGGCTTCCCATAACCACTACTCTCCAGCAGCAGCAGAGCCTTCATACACGCAATGTTTTTCTCATCTTCCTTTCCCTTTCTTCTGGAAATTACTTAAAAGCTCTATAATTATTTATAAATATGCAAAGGATGCCCACAAGGCTAGAGTAATCGTGGTGGCCTAGACCAAAGCTCATGGTGGCCTTCTTGGCATCCCTTAACAGAGGAAAAAGCTGCATTTGGCCTTCTGTTTGTGAGTGTACTCTAGCATCGGAGGCACTACTTTGACCAGGTGTCTGGACCTTGGGAAACCACAACCAGGACCATCACTAGCTGAGGAATTTCCTATAAGTGCCCCAGTGAGCAGAACTCAGGCCTCCCCATGCCACAAAACGAAGCGGCTGTTTGTTTCTGGGATGGGCACGTGCTAGTGTAACTTGGCAGAGCACCTCAGAAATTCTTCATATGTCAGGTTGGGGCAAAACTGGGAATGTGTTTGCCCAGTACATCTTGCGCTGATTACTTGGAGCGTGTGTTTCTGATTCATTTACACATAATTCTTCCAGGGATGTTGCAAGAGCTATGTGATGGCCGAAGGAACCCAGTAAGTCTTTTATTACATTTTTAAAACAAACTTCTCTATGTTGATTGTCTCTTGGAGCCAAGATGCTGCATTCTTCCAGCCCCATGATAGGCTTCAAACATAGGCTTCATAAATCCAAAGAACAAGTTCTAACCTCAGCTCCGGGATGATCTTCTCTGACCCTGGGGCTGGGTCTAGACTGTGGCAAGAATGCAAATCCTGGCTGGGAAAAGTGGTTTTTTTGAAGACCTTGTAGTCACATCTCCATACAGGCTGTAGCATTTAGCCTACCACCAGCATCCATGACCTTTTTGCTCCCTTTGTCTCTTGTTAAGAGATTATACTTTTTTTGATTTTTTTATTTCTTTTTTTCTTTCTTTCTTTTTTCTAGACAGGGCCTCACTGTGTAGTGCAGGCTGCCTTGAACTTGTTTATGTAGCCCAAGCTTGCCTTGAACTTGTAGTGCTCAGCCTTCTACCTCAGCCTCCCAGGTGCTAGAATTACAAAAAGACTATACTTCTGTTAATTAGTTTTTGAGAGACAGTATAGCAAAACAGATTAGAGCATTGGCTCTGGAGCCAAACTCTCCATGTCTGCTATATATTAGTTGTGTACATCTATGTGTTGTAGTGTTCCTGCCTACAAGAGGCTATTTAGCAACCACCCTAAAACTTAATAGCGTAAAGCACTGACCACTGGATTGTTCATACTCCTTGGGTCAGGAGCAAAATTTGAGCAAACTTCACCAGGGAGAGTTTGGCTCAGTTATCTGTTGTTGGAATTGACCAAAAGGGCCAAATGGCCCAACATAGCCCCCGTTATAGGGTTTGGTAGCTGGATATTGAGTGAAGTGCCTCATTTCTCCTCCATATAGTCTGTCTCTTTATTAATCGCTATACAGATAGTGATCTAGGCTTCCTTACATACCAGCAGGAATATTCTAAGGGAAAGAACAGAAGCTGCAAAGACCAAGTCATAGTGTTAAGACCAGTCATAGTGTTACTCTACCCATTCAGCTGAACCAAGTGAATTACAAGGCCAGAGATTGAAAGGGAGTATGTATTAATCAGTTTTCCATTGCTATGACCAAATACCTAAGAGCAACAACTTATAAGAGTTTATTTGGGCTCATGGTTTCAGAGGTTTCAGTCCATGGCTGGGGCGGGGGAGCTCTATTGTTTTTAGGCCTGTGGTGAGGCAAAAACATTATCACAGAGGAAAGTTGTTCAACTCATGGCAGCCAGGAACAAAAGTAAGTGGAAAGAAACAAGAAGAGGAAGGGGCCAGGGACCATATGTAATCTTCAAAGCCACATCCCTAGTGACTTGCTTCATCCAATGTGACCTCACCTCCTAAGAAGTCCTTTCAGCTATGAATTAATCAGTAGATTTGTTCATTCAGTTCATCCATCAAGTGAGGCCAGAATCCTCATGACCCAGTCACCTCTCTAGGCTCCACCTCTTGAGCATTGCTGCACTGAGGATCAAGCCTTCAGTATATGAGACTTTGGGGAACACTTCATATTTAAACCATAATAGAAGAAAAACAGACTCCATCTGTTGATGGGAGGTAGGACACACCTACAGGCATAGGAAGTTATTATGAAAATTAAACAATTTCATCTAGGCAGAACATTTAGAAAAGTCTCTAAAACAGAGTTAGCATAATGCATAGTGTTATGTTTTATTATGATTATCCTTGTATCACTTCAGAAATATGGTACATGCATGCTCCTTGAATGGAAGTCTTTTCAGAACCACAGTCACTAGTAAATCAGAGTGTGTCTTAGTTACTTATCTCATTACTGTGATGAAATACGCAATGCCCAAAGTTAAAGGGAGGAAAGGCTTCCTTGGTTCACAGTTTGTAGAGGTTTTACTCTGTAATCCAAGGCAGGGTGGCTTGACAGATGGGGCATCACAGAGGAGAATAGTTCATAGCAGGCAGAGATTAACAAAAACTATGAGAAAGACACACAGAGAGAGATGTAGAGAACCTATTTTGTCCCTTATATGGTATCCAGTCTACTGGGATTAGGACAGTACCCATCCAATCAGCGGACTGATCCAGCAATCACTCACCTTTAGTCTTAATTCTGGCATTGCACTACGAATCAGTCACACACTCTAGACTTAGCCATCTCCAAAGAAATCTCTATGATCTCATGAGGCTTTGGGGGAACACCTAGACACAAGTCGTACACCTCAGTAAAGCCTTATTTTCTCCCAGCCTGATGTCATAGTCCATCCAGTTGTGGAATTCATTCAGGCCATCCCTGGATGTTTTCCCCTCCCTATTACCATGCCATCTCAGCTTCCTTTCCTGAGTGATATAGCCACCACTTCCCTTGGCTCTCTCAGACTTTCTTCCAAGGGTCACATAGCCTGGAGGCGGTTGACGCCACATTGACCCTGACCTGTTCTGAATTCTTCAGGTCACCATAGAGGTGGTCGACGGTCCAGACTCTGAAGCAGATAACGGTCAGCATCCGGAGAATAAGCCCAGCTGGTCAGTCCCGTCCCCCGACTGGCAGGCCTGGTGGCAGAGGTCCTTGTCCTTGGCGAGGGCCAACAGCGGGGACCAGGACTACAAGTACGACAGTACCTCAGATGACAGCAACTTCCTCAACCCCCCCAGGGGGTGGGATCGTCCGGCCCCAGGCCACCGGACTTTTGAAACCAAAGAGCAGCCAGAATATGGTGAGTTTACCACTCAGTAATGTAAAATTGGTGGGGAGAATAAATAAGGCCTAACAGACACGGAGCCAAGCCAAACCCAGTTTACAGTATGTGGCTTTTGGTCTTCTGTGGGGCAGACCTCATAAAGCCTATGCTCCACAGAAGCCCCAGTGAGGCTCCAGCAGCCACATTTTTCTGGCAAGACTATAATTTTAAAATCATAGGAATTATCTTTGGAAAGTCTTTTCTTTAGGGTCTTTGGGATTTTTTGTCTTGTCTCCCCCAAATTTTTAGTTTTACTTCTAAAAATGAAATATTCAAATTAACCTTGTTCTATTTTGCACTGTAAAAAATTCATATTGAGAGCAGTTGGATAAAAGAGAGGCATATGGTTGCTGCTTCCTTTGACCAGGCAACTGGGTTAAGTTTCATACCAGCAGGGCGGAGGCCTTTAAGAATCCATGTAAACATCTGTGACCTGGTTTGTCAAAGGAAGGCCTTTCCCAATAAATGTTCAGTCCCCCAGCTGAGACCCTTAGATTCCCCTGTTTGTAAAGTAGGATAGATGCGGCAATAGACAACTTCCAAACTCAGCGACCTAAGATAATACAAGTTCATTTCCGACTTGAGTTGAGATGGGAGACAAGGTAGGAGGCAGGCAGCTTCACTCTATGATTTGGGAACTTTCCCTTTCCCTCTTGGAGATCCACCAGCTGTTAGGGGCTGAGACTTGTCCCCTAGATGCTCTGCATCTGGCTGGTAACCGAGGACTATGGGAAGCTGGAGAGAGAACACACACATTCTTCACCCCTTTATCTCGGAGGTGACGCACATCACATCTACTCACATTCTGTTGCCAAGACTGATCATGTGGCCCCATACAGATGCAAGGATCCAGGGAAATAAATGCATGCAGCCAAGTAAAAGAGGAAACGCTTTTGCAAATATCTGACCAGTCTTAGTATGGAATTAGAGAGTGTGTTGTAAGAATAGTTGCTGTATACAAATGCACCATCATCGTGAACAGTATGTGACAAGGGTGACTCATACCGTTTATACTCTCACCTTTACCTCTCTTTCTACAGAAAGACAAGTTCTACTTTAGAGAGTTATTTCTGCTCATTAAGCAATAATTCTTGGCAACTTCCAAAACAGCTTTTTCTAGCCATATCATTTCGCTGATCAACCAACATTTATTTATTAAGAGCATGTTTTGGGCCTGACATGCTAGGTGCATTAAATTCCAAAATATGCAAGATATAGTCCTTTCCTCAAGAAGGGCTCACTCGTCTCATGACAAAGAGAGAAAAATTAACTGAAAGACAATGTAGTGCCATGATAGAAATACACATCAAATAGTAGGAGAGCAGAAAGAGGACTCCATACCACTGCCAGTCAGGTTACTCGTGAAATTCCCACAGGAAGTCCAGTTTCTCTGTTTTCAAGAGCAAAAACTGGGGTCATGGCTAGCATTTATAAGTACTTATACTGCACCCATCCACCTTTGTGACATTTCCATTTGACTAGGCCTGTGGTGAGGCAGAAACATCAGACTAGACCTGTGAAGCAGATGCGTCATTTATAGATGGGGAAACAAAGGCTACAGAACTTAAGTGACTTGACTTGGAGGAGACAGACTTTCCAGACATCTCAGGAAATTTGCATCCAGAATCTTAGCTACTATCCTGTTCTATTTCCCTGGGGATAAAGTAGCACAATGCTTAGGACAGTACAGTGGATCTAGATATGAATGCAAAACTGGGCTCTCTGGGGGTGATTGTGAGGCATCACTGTATTCCAAACTCATGAGTGATTCTAGTGCTCAGCCCATGGGAAAGGCCACCACTCTCCCCTGCTGAGTCAGAGGTATATGAGACATGGAACCTGCCTGTGCATCCTTCTTTATTTTTTCAATGAAGGTCACCACGTGATTCTTATGCTTACTCAAATTTGAAGACCACGATTATAAATAACTTCTTCATCTAAAGCTTTTGTAGATCTGCTTTGTTGAGTTCATGAGAATTGGGAACATCCTGTCCTTTTCAACTGTGGTGACAGAGTTTGCTTCTACCAGGACAGTTCCTGTGGCTGCATTGGCCATCCTCACCACATCTTCCTGTAGAACCCATGGATTTCCCTTGATCAAAATCTAGCTGCATCCTTGGGTCATCGGGAAGTTGCCATCTCCTATGATTTTGAAGTGTCTCTTAATGACTTCTCTCTCATTACACTAGATATCAAGATTCCTACTTTATAAAGAGATTCTTGTCCTTTGTAGTACTCCTTGTAGACCTTCCTTCTCACACCTTTCTGTACATACCAGTAACTGAGGTTTTGTTGGAATGCAACTTCTAACACAGCAGGCATGAGAAATAAGCAGGAGCCAAGAGAAGCTGGCGCCATTGGTCCCCTCTGAGCCACACCTGGAATATCAAGATTCTAAGCACATCACGGCCATTGAGTAGCATGGGCAGCCTGAGTGGAAGACTGTTCTTAGATGAATGCTCAAGGGATGTGTGTTTTCCTGAATTTTGTACAGCATCTGAGAATTCTCTTTGTATTTCAATCAACAAAAAAGCTATTGAGCAGTTTCTAAATATTTACTCCTGCATTTAGTGCTTGGGTGGGGACAGGGGAGAACACTGTGCTGGAAGGGGACGCTCATGCAGGGCAGGTCACCGTGTCTCAAGACTTGCTGTCCTGTCTCAGATGGACTGAAATGGCCACCACAGCTGGTCTTTGCAAAGGAGGTAGACTATTGAAGGTAGGATTTTAAACAGAAGTTTAAATGTTTGTGGGGATGGGGCTGGGGATTTAGCTCAGCAGCATAAGCACCTGCCTTGCAAGCAGGCGGTTGTGAGTTCAATCCCTGGTATCGATAAAAAAGAAAAAGACAAAAAAAATGTTTGTGGGGAAAAGAGTATTTCCAAAAATCTGAGATGCAGTGAATAGGATATAATGGACAACTGCAGGACAGAGGTGCTATACGATATAGACCAGAAGGTGACCCTAACTTGAGATGGAAGCACGTACTATGAGGATACCGTAAGTCAGTGTGACTGGGCAGAGTATGTAAATACTCCCTGCAGATGTTTCCATGGCAACAGGAGTCCAACTCAACATGCATCTGTCTAACTGTAACAGACTATTCTCAAAATCACTCAGAATGGAATTAGGTGGACACTGCTTATTAGCAGGATTACGACTCAGTTCATTGAAATTCTCTAGTTGGTCATGGGACTGTGTCAGCAGAAGATTCCAGAATGATTTCTTTTCATGAGTTTTTCTTTGTAATGCTGAATTATAGCCATATCAGTAAGTGCCTTAAACAAGGGAGACTAACTTAATTCAAAGGTGCTCTAGCAGCTAAGCATCTAGGCAAGTGTGTATACCTCTCTGAGCATGATTCTCTATCCATAGAAGGAAGAGGCTTCTATCTGCTTCTTGGAATTATTGTAGGAGTTAATTATAGCTCCTGTCATCTGGGATTATGGTGCAGGATTGCAGTGGTCAAGCCAATACCCAAATCAATTCAGTTGTCCTTGACATTGTAACTGATCCAGAGAACATTAAGTGCCCTAAAACTATAAAAGAACTGTTTCACAATTTCAAATACATCCTTGAAACCCAGCTTTCAGCTCATCGCATTGCAAATCATTATCTCCCTCCTTGAGTTCTTCTGTGTCACAGGTAGGAACTGTCAAAACGCATATAAACTTTACCAGGAGTTGTTTTTTCCTGTCGCTGTTGTCTTAGTCATGGACACTCATTTTCTTTTCTGAGCATTACTCTCTGCAAGGTGAATGAATAAGAGCACATTTGTTTTATTATTGCAGAAAGGTTTGATGCTCTCAAAGTTTTGTCCCAGTCAGAAATTCCCTTTCTACCCTTTGATCATAGGAAACATACAGAAATCCCCAAGATCTTTGCTGGGGCACTCCTGGGGACCAGTATATGGTGAGGGCTTCAGGGTAGTGAACTGACATGCACACTTTTTCCTAACACCCCACTTTTAGCTCATTGTTAGGCTCCATATGAGTGATTAATTATATGGCTATGATCTTAGTGTCTAATTTTAAGGGATCTGTATTTTCTAAAACTAAGTAGCTTTATGAGCATTTGAAACAAAGATGTGGAGAAGCCATTTACCTGAATAATAAATGATTGATGGACGGTTCCAGAGACTAGACTCTGAGAGAAATCTAGACAGCACATTTTAGGGAGCATTTTTCAGCATATTTGTAACAGCTTTTGTTGCTTACTTCCAATCAGAACAAAAGGTCTCCCTCATGAGTCTATAGGTAGTTAGGACTGTTGACTTGGGCCAGCTTAACAGGGCTGGAAGGTCTCTAATGGTTCCTCACAGTAACAGGGCCTCCCTAGATATCTGGGGTCTGCAAGGGTTGGGGCTTCTCTCTACCTGCTCCCTTACTGTCCCAGAGACTAGCCTGGGCTTTTCATGTGGTGGTGGAAGGGCTCACTACAGCTAGGAAGGAAAATTCTCACGCATGGTCCTATAGCAAGCGTCTGCCTATGTCATATGTGCTGTTATCCCATTGGCCAAAGCATGTAACAAGGCCCAGCCTGAAATCACCAAGGGAGTGGACAGGGAGAGAAGTAGTATAGGGATTGTTTTCCAAATAATCTGACACTGTATCCCCATCTCATCATTTAGATCCAAGAAATTTCATGCAGAGATTGTAGTATAAATCTCATAGTGAGTTTAAGGCTCAAAGCTTAGGAATATTTCTCTAAATTAGGTCTCTACCATAAGAGAAAGGAAAAAGTGCAGGAGATTTCAGGATGGTTGGGACCTCTTTGCCTTCATGAAGCTGAAGACATTACTTGGTGTCGCTGGATTGTGTCTCATGCTGGAACTCATTTCACAGATGATATGGATTCTACCTGTATGGCTTAATAAGCTTCTTTCTCTACTTATTCATCTCCTCCTTTTTGAGTACAGAAACCTTATAATCTTGTGACTTGTTCCCTTCAACAAAATCTGTCCTTGCTGGTGTGTGCAAGTGTAGGCACATGTGCTATCACACACTGCACCTTGATATATGTACATTCAGGCATGGGAATGGGGTGACTGCTCCTGGCACATCTCCAGCATTCTTGGGGCGATCACAAAGAGATACCAGACTACACGGGTTTCAGGAGGGCAGAGACTGACCTACTTCAGTGGCTTCTCCCTTGGGAAGCACCTGTCTCTCCTGTCCTGCTGGAGGAGGCCTTTGAAGAGACAGTAGAAATGCAGAAGCTGACAGTGAAGAATGAGGCCCAGATTCCGCAGCGTGAGCAGTAGTTTCAGCCATCTGCTTGGGCTTGTGGTTGGAAAACCATTTCTTAAAAAGAAAATCAAAGTTTGGGAAAAAATCTTGCTTGGCAGGAGAGAAAAATAGATGAAGTCTCTGGGGACAGATGAGGTGTGAGCAAAATCTCCACTCTGTTAGGGAAGAGTACACAACCAGGAAGCCCCCACACATATGCGCGCGTGCACGTACATACACACGCACATGCACATGCACACACACACACACTGTCATTCTGCCTAATGGGCTGCTTGCCTGAGGATTGTGCAGAATGAAAACCATGTAAACAACTGCCGAGGGGGCTGGCATGGGGCCCACAGTTCAGGTAGAAACGTGTGGGTGGCATGCTTCCTGGGCCTACGTAAGAATGAATGGCGGCATCCCTTCCCTGCAAGGCACATGCCTATAGCCCAAAACTTGGCACCCAGAGAGGCCCCAAGGCTACTGGAAGATGTGGGTGAGCTGGGAGAAATGATTGCAGAACAGAGGCACTCAGAAGGGACTATGTTTTAGAGAGATCTAGGTCCGAGCTGAGTTTCCCCTTCTGTTCCCCTGAGGATCATTGATGAGTCCCCGAGCTGCCCCAGCAATTAACCTCTTTTAGGAAAAGGTCAGTTTTGGTGAGGTACCGACCCTGGTTGAATTTTCCTTTATCCACACCATTCATCAACTTCTAAAATAATACAAAGGTTATTCGAGTGTGTGTGTGTGTGTGTGTGTGTGTGTGTGTGTGTGTGTGTGTGACTATTGTCTCCCTCCTATTAAAATATTAGTTCCACTGGGGCAAGGATCTTTGAAAAGTTAAATACTTAACAAAGGGTTCCACACTTACAATTGTACCTGACTTAGGAGAAGGCTCAATTCATTGGATGAATGTTGAATAATGACCCGAGGGACATTCTTAGCTCTACCATTAGTGTATCAATTACCCATCTCTGCCTAACAAACTACCCCAAACTTCAAACCATCCCAAACTCAGTGACTTAAGACAAAACCAGTTGGGCCAGGGATAGAGCTCAGTGGCACAGCAAGTGCAGGGTCCTGAGTTTGATTCCTGGTACCAACAAAACAAAACAAAACATCAGTTTATTATTTCTCATGATTTAGTGGCTCAGGAATTTAGTCAAGACCACTGAGTAATTCGTTTGTTCTTGATGGCATCCTCTGCATTCAGCTGTCCGCTCAGAAGGACTGGAAAGATAAAAAACAGTTTTCTCACTTCTCTCTGTGGTCTTTTGTGGATCTTCTCTTTCCGGGTGTTGTCCTTGTTGATAAGTTTAGCCTGAGCTTCTTTCACAGTAACTGGATTCTCGAGGGAAGAAACTAGAAGCTTCAAGCCTTAAGGCCGAAGCCCACCCAGAGCTTAGAGAAAATGGATTCATACTCATTCTTTCTCTCCCTCCCCTCTTTCCCTTCTTCTCAAGGGATAGATGGAAATGATGATGGTCATCTTCAGAAATTGTCCAGCTCATTATCCCATGAACCTTGGTTTCCGGTGTGCATATATTCTCAGGAACATTTCCTGGACACCTACAGGGATCTGTTCCTACCCATGTACTGATCACCAAGTACTCACATTTTGCGGCTCACGAAGCTGAGCCCTAAAGGGAATCCTGGACCTGTGAGCCTTTTAGCCCTGGCTGGCATGTGCCACACGAGCACCCCATAAGTGGACAGTGGCATCCTGCTTCACCGGGGAGATGTGGAGACTTTCTGGACGACGTCAGTGACCATCTCTCCCTGGCTCCCTTCCAGATTCCACAGATGGAGAGGGTGACTGGAGTCTCTGGTCTGTCTGCAGCGTCACCTGCGGGAATGGGAACCAGAAACGAACACGGTCTTGTGGCTATGCGTGCACTGCGACAGAATCTAGGACCTGTGACCGTCCAAACTGCCCAGGTGAGTTTACTTGGGGGTGTGGATGCAAGGACAAGGAGAAGCTTTTAAATCTGTATTTTAAAACATATAAAAATTATGTCTTTAAAAGATAGCCATTTTCCTCGTAAGACTTCTGACCAGAGTGGGACAAGAGACAATTAATGAGTTTGATGGAGGAAGGGTGGGTGTTCTGAGTCATGTGCACTGTGGAGGTAGCCGTGACTTGGGAGACAGGGCTACATTGTACTGGGGTAATTTAGAGAAGCGATTCTGGTTAGTTTGGGTCTTTGATGTGGGATTTGTTATGACTCGAAAAGGCACATGAAAACAGACATTTATGGTTTAACAGGGAAGCCAGGATGAGAGGGTCAATAGCCAGCTACAGAAAAACCACGCAGTTAGCCCTGTCAGTAATACCTGAGAGTTGCCCGAGGCTCCATAGGGAGCAAACTGGGGCTAGTTAGCATTTAATTATGACTTTAGACTACATTGTCAGTGCTTTAAAAATTAAACTAATTGCAAACTTGGTGAGGGCTCATACCAGAACAGCCGAGACTAATACTGGTTTGTCAAACCATGTCCTGTGGGCCAAGTCCAACCTACAAGCTGTTTCTTTAGGCCCCATGCATTTTACAGGGCTGCAAAGAAAAGGAGGAGGAGGAAAAAGAGAAAGAAAAGGGGGGAGAGGAGGAAGAGGAAGATAAATGGGGGGGAAGAAGAAGAGACAGCAGCTAAGACGACTATAAATGACCCACAAACCCTAACATTTGCATCCTTTGAACCTTCACCAGCTCTTTTCCTTTAAGGGCTCTCTGATTTTATGTGAGCCCCTTGGAACCCCATATTTGTGGGGTTAATGCAGGGTTAGTTTACATTGCCAGGCTAGGGTGACCCTAGCATTCTTTCCTGTAAAGTTGAGAATCAAAAAACCAAATATGGCAAGAGATCCTGCCAAAGAAAATCTGGTTCCCAGCAAGCCCCGGAAAGCTGGTTCTGAGACACAGACAAGAGAGCAAGGACCAGTGAGGAGATAAAAAAGATGCATGAGCAAAGCTGTTGGCCACACTGCTGTCAGTGGTGCCAAAAAATCAAGAAGGAAGCATTCAAAATGGTGGTGGTGAGGGCCAGGGATACAGCTCATCAGCATAGCACCTGCCTGGCAAACACTAGGTCATGAGTTTGGTTCCTGGTACCAAAAGATCCAAAAAAATAAAAAAACCAAACCTAACCAACCAAACAAACAAAAACCAAAATGAGAATTTCTTATCACAGGGAAGAGCCTTCCTGTGATAAAGAATCTAAACCTGGCACTCGGGGTCTGGATGCCAGATCTGAAAGAGAGGCATTGACCATATGTTCCCATTTCCAGGTAGAATACCAGCCTAAAATAATATATTAGGCCTTTCTAGGAAACCACGCATCCTAAATGGCTTCCTCTGAAAGAACTTTTGGAGACCGGAAACTTGAACTTTGTATGGTAGACTTCCTTTTGCTACCACCCATAGACAACTGTGTTCTCAAACAAGAGACATCTGGAACAAAGCAGAAGTGGAAACACAAGGGGAGAGAGGAAGGCTCTATGAGTGTGTATGTTAGCAAATGAGCACACGCAGAAAGTGGGCCTCAATGCAAGTGGTGGCCGTTCTGACTCAATGACAACCATACAGATTTCAAAGCAGTAGAGCAACCACAAAGTTACTTTTCCTGAGCCTCCTCATGTCTGTCATGATGAACTGAGTGGGCTCTGGATGCATAGGAACCAACCAATAAATAATAATAACATGAAGAGGACAAAAGGAACGTGGAAGAGAACATGAAGAAAAAGATGAAGGTGGTGGTGACGATGACGATAAGGAAATGAACCAAAAGAAAATAAAGATTGGCTAGCGATGTGGCTCCATGCTAAAGCACTTGCCTAGCATGCCTGCAACCTGGATTTGATTTCCAGCACAAAAGGAGAAAAGAAGGAAGGAAGGAAGGAAGGAAGGAAGGAAGGAAGGAAGGAAGGAAGGAAGGAAGGAAGGAAGGAAGGAAAAGAAACAGAGGGAGATAGGGGAGGAACGAAAGAATGGAGAGAGGGAAAAGAGGAAGAATGGAGGGAGGGAAACACAATGATGAAAGAGTTGAAGAAAAAGATGATGAAAAACAGGAGTTTTTAATTATGTAAAGATCAACCAGCTTCCCGTAGTTTTTATGTGCATCGTTTCACAGTAGCCTCATGAAATAGGTGTTCATTTTTGTTCCCATTTGGCATCTTCAGAAAATGAGGTCAGGGGCAGCAGCAGGGGATCAGTCATGAAGGTGGACCCAGTGTTCTTAACCTCTGAACCCTCCGTGCTCCCCAGAAGGCAAACACAGACACAGACAGCACCAGAGCCAGGGTTGAGGGGTTTGCTTGTGATGTTCTCTTTCAGAGCTGGCATCCAGACCCCGAGTGCCAGGTTTAGATTCTTTATCACAGGAAGGCTCTTCCCTGTGATAAGAAATTCTCATTTTGTTTTTTGTTTGTTTGGTTGGTTAGGTTTGGTTTTTTGATTTTTTTGGATCTTTTGGTACCAGGAACCAAACTCATGACCTAGTGTTTGCCAGGCAGGTGCTGTGCTGATGAGCTGTATCCCTGGCCCTCACCACCACCATTTTGAATGCTTCTTTCTTGATTTTTTGGCACCACTGACAGCAGTGTGGCCAACAGCTCTGCTCAGGCATCTTTTTTATCTCCTCACTGGTCCTTCTCTCTCGTCTGTGTCTCAGAACCAGCTTTCCGGGGCTTGCTGGGAACCAGATTTTCTTTGGCAGGATCTCTTGCCATATTTGGTTTTTTGATTCTCAACTTTACAGGAAAGAATGCTAGGGTCACCCTAGCCTGGCAATGTAAACTAACCCTGCATTAACCCCACAAATATGGGGTTCCAAGGGGCTCACATAAAATCAGAGAGCCCTTAAAGGAAATCAAGTCATGCCCAGCAGACAAAGTTTCATGACCTTCCGCTCTTCCTCCTCTGCTTTACCTTGTGAAGGACTCCTGTCTGCAAAGGAAGCTGGCCAGCACAGGAGCTTTGAGGAGAGCTTAAGGGAGCCATAAAGTTTAAAGCAAGCTGGGCTCTGTTCCTCAGAGCAATCCCAACTTACTCTTTCTGAAGCACCAACAGCAAGACCCCAAGTCCTAAAAAGGGAGATATCTGGTCTTTGGCAAGGAATTGCCAGCACCATTTCAGCTCAAATGGCATCCGCCGAATACTGAAGAGGAAAATAGCAGCTAGCACTTACCACTGACCCTCCTGCGCTAGCTGCTTTCTTTACACACATTTAATTCTTTCAGCTCCACGGGCAGAGGCCGTCACTCAGTTCTCCCTACTTTGGAGGCACACCAGAGGAAGGAGCTCGCCCTACTTCACACAGCTCCTACTGAGTTAGACCCAGGAAGTCAGTCATTAAAGACAGATGTTAACCACCACACCCTGCTCCTTCCAGCTGGGGCTGTCACCCTGACGCCTCCAGACAACCACCCTGACTCCCACACCCCACTCCCATACCCACTCCACACCCCCTCCGTAGAGGAGGCCGTGAGTTCCTCAGGACTCATTTAGGCACATTTGGATTGGATTTCGTGCTCCAAATGGTATCTGGGGTTTTAATATATTTTATGCGCTACTACCTGCTTTTTACAGTTTCCTCTGTTGGCAAGTTTCTGCCCATGAGTAGAAGTGAGCACAGAAAAGGCTTTGTTCAGGTGTATTTGTTTTTCATTTGGGAGGGGCTGACTTTTTCCATAGAACGCGGGGAAAATGAGCTCTTGTCTGTGTCTAGGCATTGAAGACACTTTCAGGACAGCGGCCACTGAAGTGAGTCTGCTTGCGGGAAGCGAGGAGTTTAATGCCACCAAGCTGTTTGAAGTCGGTGAGAATATTTTTTTCTTTTTTTAATCCAAATATTGATTTAGTTCTTTGGAGATTCCTTTTGCTTTTGCAATGCCATCCTTGGAAAATGTGCATGTTTCATTTTCCTCTTCTAGGGTCCAGCTCCCCCTGCATATTTCTTACTCACACTCACGGAAAGGCTCCCAGCAAGCCAGTCCCTCCTCCAGCAGACTGGGCCCTAGAACCTCCTCAGGCTCCTCAGCAGGAGACACCGGGCTCCACCCCTTTCCTCAGCACAGAGTCACTAGTATGTCCTCAGTAAAATCCGCTCTCCAGCAGAGGGAAGGAGGCAGAGGGGAAATTTCTAAATATTACATACTCCTTCTCCTGCGAGTTTCCATAAACCTCTGGTAAACTCTGCTGAGCTACATTCCTGTGTGACATAAAGTGTTAGCACAGATATGAGAAACAGGCCAAACAGAACAGGGAGGATTTTTTAAAATGACCTCATATGCTTCCGGATATAATTCTATGTTAAAGGAGGTAAGGGTCCACTGCTCCATTTCTTTCAGCCACCAAAAAATTCTTGATTAACCTCTTTAATTTTTCTGTGCCTGTTCAGACAGAGTGAGCAGTCCTGAGTCCCTTAGCAGTTCACGGCCCAGTTAGCCAGGATGTAACTGAGTGACCAAACTCAAATCTTGAAGGACTACAGCACTTAGAGTGATGCAGGGATCCAATGCAACAGTCTAGAGAAAAAGGAGAGAGCTACGTATCAGGGAGCCTGCACTATGGTGAAAAGACACTAGAACAACTATAGCATGGGGTGATATTAGAGAGGGCTAGACACTGCGACACAGTGAGACACTCAGGCTTTATCCAAACAGGGAGCTGTGGCATCCCCAGTATCAATCCAGTACTGCCAGATGTTTTGGTTTTCCAAGAAAGACCCCAAATCTGGGTTTTCCTAGAATACATCTCAGTTTTTGTAATACTGGATAATTTTAAAAAGAAATCAGATCAAACGTGGATGTGAGCCACACTACAGACAACTGAAATTCTATCACTGAGGGCTTCCCCTCATCCCAGTCCCTTCACAGACATTCATTCAACCTGTGTGTGATAGGAGCCTTCTGCAAATGTGTGTTTGATTTAAAACAAATGACTGGAAAGGTGTGGGTTTATGTAGAATGGAAGGGGGTCCATTTGGGGACCAAAACCTTGTCAGGCCCCTCCATGGCACCCACAGGCAGGCGGCCTCTTGCCTTACTGCACAGGGGAGTCCAGGTGCTCAAGGCCACACTCAGTATGTGGCTAATGCCACAATAGCTGAATGGACCTGGGGTGTCAGCCAGGGAAAGAGCAGGTGATTGGGGCGTATTTGGTGAGGGGCTATTTGCAAAGATCTGAGCGAGGTGGAGCGAAACCAAGCAGGGGTAGTACCAAGGTGGACGACAGTGGGCAGCCCCTACCCCTTCATGGACCAAGAAGGAGAAGTGACCAGAGTCCAGCCATAGGGCCATCTGACAGCAGTCCTGGCTTGCAGAAGTAGGGGGACAACACGCAGTGGAAAGGGAGGAGCCAAGAAAATAGAGATCTCTTCCCTACTGGGTCCTCCTATTGGCTCAGCCCGCATAGAGGTCAGGGATCAAGGAGTCTATTGCTAGACCAACCTTCCACAGCTGGAGTAGCACAGAATGAGGACACAGAAGGGCAAACTGAGGATGAGAAAAGCAGTGACAGGGAAAGGTAGATGGGCTTAAACTTAAGTTTTATAACCCAGCACTGCCCCCAAAGTTTTCAGATCTGTAAAAGGGCAAGAGGCAACAATGCCTGCCTCCCAGAGCTATTGCAGAACTCTGAGCTAGTGTTTGTAAAGCATTTAGCATATGAGTGGTACACTGAAAACCTCACATAAGCTTAATAATTTAAAATAAGTCAGTGGATGTGCTGTAGGTGCATGAATTAGAATGACCTCCCACCCTGGAAGGGAAATCCATAGCCATTTTCTGGGGCCTCATGAATTTTGTCCCCAACGCCCTGGCCCTCCCAGGGGAAACTGTGGGCTTTGCAGATGAGGCTCGCTACAAGGGAGTTGCCGTTGTGTTCATGACTACTCAGCCAGGACGTCACAGCTGTGGGATGGTGGAAGTCAGAGCTGAAAGCAGCCACTGCCAGTGCCGGCTGGCCACACAATGGACATTGTCCTGTGCGCTCCCTTCATTCCCTCCCATTTTATCTTCACCCTAATTCTACGAGAAAAGTGCTATTTTTAGGACCAATTTAAAAATGAGGAAACCAGCATATGGCAAGGTAAAACTTGCTTATTTGCTGAGCTGCTAAGCCATTGAGTTGGGATTCAGTCAGCCCCAGGCAGTTTAGCATGAGACTCCAAACTCTTCACTTCTTACCAGGCCTCCTGGGGTATGTGAGAGATGACCGTCTCTTGTCCTCGTTCTAATGGTGAGGCCCAAGCCTGCTTCTGAACATGTTTGTCTGACCACTTGATTCCCAGGCACCTGGCTCCAACCTGGAGTCACCCTCAAGGCTTCCCCTCTTTCGCCCCAACTCTATGGCCAAGACCAGACACTGCTAACTCTCTGATCACTCCCTTCCACCAGGGTGTCTCACCTGGGTTCTTTTCATTCAGATCAGCACCAGATTCATTCTCTTGCTGCATAACTCAGTTAATAAGTAGTCTACCATCATTCACCAACCTTCACTGGCTCCCTGGAACCCTCTAAATAGGCCTAAACTGAACAAAACCCCCACGATCTGACACCAGCAATTGTATTTCCTTATACGGTCTGCTCCAATGGAAAGGAGTATGTGTCCAATCCCAGACAGCCCTGAGGATGCACGGCCCAGAGGGTAGACCCTGGAAGACCCAAAAGGAGCTCCTGCTGGAGACTGCAGGTCAGCCACGGGCCCACGGCAGATTCCCTGAGGGAGATCTGAGCAGGACCCCTGCCGTGTCCCAGGCCCTTCACTGTGCCTCACACTCCTGCACATCTGAACATTGACTTTTTACCTTTGCCCTCCTTCATGCAGCCCCACGTCCCCCCTCTCTTGGCTTCCTTAGTTGAGTATGCTTCAGTTGGCCCACTGAGGCAGATGCTACTGATGACCCACCCACATCCCTTCCTCCTGCACCTTGTCCCTGCACCCCAGCCTGACTTTCAACTACAGTGCCCTTGTTTCTTTGCTGTAGAGTGCCTCTTGCCCCCAAGCCCACTGCCCCATGACTGCAGGGCACTGCAAGCCAGGAGCAGCCCCTGACACTGAGAACAGGAGCTGGTGGATAAACACTCAGGGCCCATAAATCAAAGCACAGTCAGGAGTAGTAAGGAGAGACAGAGGGTATTAGTTCCCTGTTCTTGCAGTTGGGCCCACGCTGTGTCTGCACAAGGTCTGCAGGCCTCCTTGGGGTCAGGCAGAGAAAGCACCTCTGTGGAGCACTAGATAAAGCTGGAAGGAGCAGCAGGGAAGTGGGTGGAGGGTGGTGGGATGGGACCGTGGGCCTCAGTGTTTACCCTGAGGCCTGCTTATTTTCCTGGCAGCATGGCAGGACCTTAAGAAAAGGCCTGTGCTCCCTCATGCATAGGGTAGGCCAAAGCCCAGGGCCTTGAAGAAAGGAAAATCAGGATTTGGGCAAGGTGTGTTCTGTTCTAATCAGCAGCCAGGAGTGCAATTCAGCTCATCGCATATGAAGCAAAGGGAAATTTAGAGGGTCTATATCTTCTGAGTTTGTCACAGGAGAAGGGGGCACAACTGTGAGTCTCATCCTGGTCCTTTGGGGAAAAAATGCTCTTTGCAATAAATTATTGTCCAGAACATGAAAGAGGGCCCACAGTAGAGCCATTCTCATCTCCCCCAAACTTGGGGCCATCTGTAGCTGTTTCCCTTCACCTATTTAAGCCACACCCAGGCTGGCTGCCTTCCTGCTCCCTGACTGCTGTGTCCTGGAATCACCTCTCAAGAAACCAGTCCCGCTGGAATCTCTGCCTCAGGGTTTAGAAGAATCCAAACAGGGACACTGGCTAAACCTGTGTCTCTGCTGAGAAGCCAGAGTGAAGGGTCAGGCGGGGGTTGTGCAGAGCTGGGGACTCTGGCATTGTCCAAGGAGGCCACCTCCATCCCTGTTTATGAGGCCAACACAGTACTGGTTAGACACATCTATGGGTTTTCGGATGAAGCAAAGAGCCAAAATTATGATTAGAATTAGCTAATTCTTAAAGGTTTGCAAGTAATCAATATTTTTTTACTACCATAAGAACCAAACACAGTATCAGGCCACTTCGTCTTTGCTACCTTGACATGTGAACCGGCATATGGTCATTATCACTCGCCTAAGATGCTGGCAGCTCAGCTGCATCTTAAACCAGGCAGTGAATGGCAGGCATGAAACTCGAGACTATCAGTGTCCCTTGGAAGTCTTTTCCATCACCTCACTACTTAATTAAGAGGAAATTAAATACAGCTTTCTAGATTATTGTTAGTTTTCTTCAGGCCAATAGTGAGACTATAATTATCTAGGAAAATATCCTGCTTTTAGATTTTTAGGGTTCTGTGGAGTTGATAAATACCTACTAAAAGTTGTAGGTAATAATACATGTTTCTACATAATGAGGTTTTTCTGCTTGTTTATTTGTTTTTGGTACTGGGTATTGAACTCACAACCTCACGCTAGCTAGGTATACACTGTGCCACTGAGCTAAAGACCCAGCCCTTCTGTGTAATTTCTAAAATGCTAGAGCAATATGGTAGTTAAATCCGGGGATAACAGAATGTGGGTGGTGATTAAATAAATGTATTGTTTCCTTTTCAGTGTGTTCAAAATTTTGTCATAATGCAATGTGGGGGATTGGGAGGACATCTTATAAGCAAAGAGGTTCCCAAATTCAGGGGTGATGAGAATGGCACCATCCCCACCCCTCACCTCTGGTCATCTGGTTCTGCAAATAATAAGTCTCTCTCTCTCTCTCTCTCTCTCTCTCTCTCTCTCTCTCTCTCTCTCTGCTTTTCTAGACACAGACAGCTGTGAGCGATGGATGAGCTGCAAAAGTGAATTCCTGAAGAAGTATATGCACAAAGTGATCAATGACCTTCCCAGCTGCCCCTGCTCCTACCCCACGGAAGTGGCCTACAGCACCGCAGACATCTTCGACCGCATCAAGCGCAAGGACTTCCGCTGGAAGGATGCCAGCGGGCCCAAAGAGAAGTTGGAGATCTACAAGCCCACAGCCCGCTACTGCATCCGGTCTATGTTGTCGCTGGAGAGCACCACTCTGGCTGCCCAGCACTGCTGCTATGGCGACAACATGCAGCTCATCACCCGAGGCAAAGGGGCAGGGACGCCCAACCTCATCAGCACCGAGTTCTCCGCTGAGCTGCACTACAAGGTGGACGTGCTGCCCTGGATCATCTGCAAGGGTGACTGGAGCAGGTACAATGAGGCACGGCCGCCCAACAATGGTCATAAGTGCACCGAGAGCCCCTCGGACGAGGACTACATCAAGCAGTTTCAGGAGGCCAGAGAGTATTGACAGGACGGCAAGGTGCATAGTGCCACCTCCAGTTTTGAGGCACAAATATACACATGGATCACCCAGGTCTTCCCGTGTGTTTAAGTATATCCACATGAGTGTTTTTATGAATTACACGGGGGATGTGCACGAGTCTGTACAACCACCATAAGCAGCCACCCTTACCATGCACAGCCCTCTGTGGAGGTGGCCTCATGGGCAGGAGGCTGGGACACCAGCACAGCCAGAAGAGAAACCCTGGAGGCTCAGAGGTATGATCCAGTGTTTCTAGACACACAAAGGAGGAAAGAGACTGAAGCTGTAAACATTATAAGCAGTTTTTATATATAACTTATTTAATACGAATGTGACTCAAGCTTAACATTTTCTCTGGAGTTATCATTGTAAAGCTATTTAATCATTTCTGTGAGGATCAGAAAGAACGGGGTCTAGGGAAATGAGAGAAAAATTTTGCATTGGTTTCCTTACAGAGAAATAGTGCAATGGAAACATAGCAAAACAAGAAAATGTCCACCTTAAACCAAATGTTATACGGCACCTTGCTGGAGTCTCAGATTCCAAATTTCTCTTGCCTTAGACTGGGTATTTGTTTAGGGGCAAATCTGAGCCCTGGTTTTAAATAGGCTTTAAAGTAAGAGATGAATGTTAGCATAATGCTATGGCCCCCAAACAGTAGAATTTCTGCTGATGTCTTAGGTTCAGAAGATTGCAGGAAGTTCAGACATAAAAGGAGTAGCACTTTTCCAAAGGAAAAAAGCAAAAGAAATGCAAAAAGGACATGGACCTCATTTCATCTAACAGTGTTTTCTCCACTGGTATATCCACAGTAGATAAAATATAAAAAAGGAAAGGGGAGCCAAAGTTTGAGAAATCCTAATTTTTTTATGTTTTAAGAAAGAAGAAAACTGCATTATTTTTGTAAAGTATTTATTGAGTCATTGGGTCTTATGCATCAAGCAATTGTAAGATGATCTGGTTCTGTAAGACAAATAAAGATTGGTTTCCTATGCAGTATCTTACTTGCAAAACTCCAGGAAAAGAGAATATATAATAAAATCATAATAAAATATGTTATCTGCATCCGAGATTTATGATACAAGCACCATAAACAGCCCTAGTAAAGCAAGCCAGGGGAGAGAAAATCCATCCCAGGTGGTAATGAAAGGTTCATTGGTTGACACAATGGTGGCTGGTCTCAGTCTGTATATTTGGCACTAATAGTGTCTACCCAGCCCTCAAGTGGCTGAAACCCACTGACACACATGTGGCTATTTAGCCACACCAAACTGACAAATAGAAGCCAGAGCACAGGCTTCAGACAGCCCACATATCACTTCTTGACCTTTTGACTAAGATCAAGTGAAGACAGCTCCGGTGAACAAGGCCACTTTCAAACAAAATTCTGCAGTTACAGAAATAAGCAGAACTGCTTTATCATGCAAATTATTCCTTTTCTAGATAGAAAATCAAAGCACATACTCAAAAATCATATTGGCCCCATTTTTCATTTTCTAACTTGACACTCTTCCTACCAAAAAAAAATCAGATTTTTGGTGTCTGTATGTGCTTAATATATGTATATGCCTAGTATATGGTAATGTTGACCTGAACCTTCTCTACGTAAAAATCCTGTTCATAAGAAAAAGCTCATCACTTTGGAATGAATTATTTGCACTTATGAGCATTGTTTTAGATGCATTAGGATATTTATATTTCAGATCTTCATCTAATTAGGGAATGAGAAGCCTTATTCAAATCTCAAGGAATGTTATGCAACTGAACTAATACAGAGAATCAATGTCTCCATAGACCAGGAAAGTAGGTTTGGTTTCTGACACTAGGAAGACATCTTTTTTCCAAAATGAATTGACTAGCAATGGCATGGATGGGCTTTGATGTGAGGTGTTCCCCCGGCAGGAAATACACTCAAGCAGAAAATGTAGATGATCTCAATGGGAAGCTCAACTGAATAATAAAAATAGACAAAAACATTCAGCAATGAGAGCTTCCAATGAATGTTCTAGATAGAGCTGGAGTATAGTTTAAAGGAAATTCATAACCTGTGATAATGATAATAGACTTTTTTATCATACTTATATGATAGAGAGGTGATGCTAGGTGTTACAATAGGTAACTCAGAATCACAATGGCTTAACACAATAAAAGCCTAAAGAGTAAGTTCTTGGCTAAGTGGCCCTCCTTAGTGATGACCTAAGATCCAGGCTCCTTTCACCTATCACTCTGTCATCATCAACGTCTGACTTTCTAGGGTGCCTTGAAGGTCATCTCCAGTACAGCCTGCTCAATGGATGACAAGAAGGGGGAATACATGCAAAGCATTAAGTCAGGCAGCGAAGTACTATACATCACTCCTCACTCTGCGGCTCTACTGTGGGTCACACCACTCCATAATGCCCATGAGCCTCTTGGGGGACCAGGAAGCTGAACTGGGCTTGTGTGCACTGCCAGTCTGTGCCACAGAGGTGGACCAACAGTCCCCTTATTATGCATGTCAGGACAGGAGGCAGAAAGTTGCGGCCAAAGCAGCTGGCCAGACAAGGATCCTTCTCACCTCCCCCACCTTCTGTGTTATATGACTGTATTCAGCTGCACCTCAGTTTCCTGACCTGTAAACTGGAATAAGACCCACACACACACATGCCCTACCTAGATGTTGGCAGGTGTGTGTGAAGTCCCCAGTGCCCTCTGATATTTCTGGTACCTGTTCAGCTTAGTTCAACTTTAAAACAGCAGCTGCTGCAAGCCTTTGCCCAACAGCTCTCTCCACCTGGAGCCCACTTGGCTTGCATAGAAGGCGACTGGAAATGTAAGGGAGTTAACATCACCCAGGAGCACTGAACATCTGACTAACAGGCACTTAGTGGACAAATAGCTCCTTAAATCCTCCAGCGGTGCAATTGTGCAGTGGCACCACTTTATACCCAGTGGTACCATTGTTTTTATACCCAGTGGAACTGAGTTTCAGTTGTAGTGGTGCTAACCTGCTTGCTAATACTTACTTTTTTGGGTTCTTCTCTTTTTGTCTCTCTTCCCCACTTCCTTAGTAGAACGTACGAGAATGATCCCACAAATCATTTACTTGTGCAGATTCTTCTCTCAGAGTGTGCTTTTGAGGGATTCCCAAAAAAAGGATTTCATGCTTTATTATTTATTGACTGCTATTCAAATATAAACTTATAGCTGACCGTGCTGGTACACACCTTAATCCCAGCATTCAAGGAGTTACCCAACCTGGATTACTTGGTGATTTAGCAAGACCGTTTCTAAAATACAAAATTTAAAAAGAGAAGAGGATGTAGCTCAGTGCAAAGGTCCTGAATTAAATCCGCAGTATCATGAAAAAAAAAGTCCATTATGATTGTCCTCTTGGGCATTTGAAGATGAAGTTGCATTTTATATCATACATCAAAAAAAAAAAAAGAAAAGTCAACCTTAATCTATGAGTTCTACTAGATTTCAATATTGGTGAGGTTTTTACAGAATAAAAAATGAACTTTCAAATTTCATAATTAGATTCAACAGCTAGAACATTACTCTACCAAATACCTCTATTAGTCAGGTTTTCATCATCATAAACAAATACCTGAGAAAAGCAATCAAAAGGAGGGAAGGTTTATTCTGGTTCAGGATTTCAGAGATTTCAGTCCATGGTCATGAGATTCCATTGCTTTTAAGTCTGTGACAAGGTAGAAACGTCATGGTAGAAAAACCTGGCAGAGAAGGGCTGTTCACCTCATGGCAGCCAGGAAGCAGAGAAGATACACCCTTCGAACGTGTGGCCCCTGGGACCTGCCTCCTCCAACTGGACCCCACCTCCTAAAAATCCAGCTACAAACTCGGCAATCCATTGATGAAGCCCGGGCCCTCATGACCTAATCACCTCTGAACACTGGTGTATTGAGAACCAAATCCTCAATATATGAGTCTCTGGGGGTTGCTTCATGTTGAAAGTATGAAGTCGAGTTTTTAAACACTTCAATTTTAGAATTCATTTCCTTGAGGACTATAGATAAGTCAGTGCTACTGCAAAGCCCACAGTTGCCTCAAGTCACCTGAGTGACAGTGATCAAAACCTCAGGAGCATCAACTCTGTCCTGATATGCAAAGAGTTATGAAAAGTCTTCCCAGGAAGTGAGAACCAGAAGGAGAGGATGGGAAGAATTTCTTTCTAACCCATTTAACATTTCCAATGAAGAATGTGTGGATCCTCACCATTGTCACTGCACAATTCTAAGACTTGCCAGACAAATTGTCAGACAAATCTAAGAATTGCCTCAGAAATTACTGGGTGGGTATACACAGAAACATTCACCCAAGTGTGCAGATCCTGCACACAGTAGTGTAAATTACGGCAGAAAGTTTATAGTCAAGAGCTTTTCTGAGATTCAGAGTTAACCTACCATGTGGGATTAGAAGAAGGATCATTTTCTAGGATCACAAGGTAAGATTTATTGAAACAAATTTATGGGACTATCTGCTCTTTGTTGAACCCTATCAAAAGAACAAATTTTACAGATACTTTTATATTTTAGATTTCCATTCAGAGATCTGGAAAGCCAATATACAAAGACCAGTGCTCTGCCTGTAATGGCAAAAATAACATCATCCTTAGCCATTTTAGTGGCAGGGGAATTGGCAAGGGACTGGGTTGAGCCACAGCTGCAACAGCAAAGTTGGGTAAGAGTTTTATGACTTTGCTAATTTTCTATCTGTTCTGGGAGTAATAAATGTACCCTTATAGATATTCATGATTGCCCTCAAAATGAAAAAATCTTTTAAATGGCACAGAAAAGTCTTTCATTCTTGAGACATGTAATTCATGGATGATTTTCAAAATGTCATGTTTGAATTGGGAAAGTAACATTTCTTGAATTAATCAGCCAATTGCTTCAAGAATATGACTCAAAGGATATAAAAATTTTAAGTCTTACTTTTTAAAAAGAAAGAGGAATTATTTTCTATGCAGTTAAGTTTATTTTTCACAAAGGTCATGGTTAAATCTTAGATTTATTTGCCATGGAAGAGAACTGTCTAAATGAAGTATGCCTTTCATTCCTTAGTGAAAGGGAATTTTAACAAGCACTACTTTAAATTTTTATACCACTAGAAAGTACACTAGACACGTACTTTCTATTTTTCCTAGTGGTACACTCCTCTATGTGCCTCTAAACTCAACTTATTCGTGGTTGTATTTTGGGGTTTCTTGTTGTTTGTTTGCTTGTTTGTTTTTGTGTGATTCCCACCCCCACCCCGCTTTATCTGTGGAGAGTTCGGTAAATGGAGAAGGAAAATGGAAGGAAATAAACAAAAAAGCCAAAGTCTTCAAGAATGAAATTCTCCTGGGGGAGGGAAGTGACTCATTACCCTCACTGGCAACACAAACAAAAGAAGACCTTTGAAGAGAGAGAGAGACAGACAGACAGACAGAGAAGGAAAGAGAGAGACTCAAGGATCCTTCACACTTTCCCCTCAGGGTTACTGTGAAGACCTCCAGGAAGGGATTTGCAAAGGTCCCAAATTCTCAGGGCTACCTTGTGACTAGAGTTCCTTCAATTAAACAGAGCAATGGTGTTTTGGTCTAGTTGCCATGGCGGCAGGACGCTCTGTCGAGAACATTTCAGGGTCTTCGCTCTGCATCCCATTGAGATGGTGGCCACCTGCTGTGTGTCTCATGAAGGAAAAAGTCCACCACTGAGCCCCTCTTGGACACTTTCCTTTGTGACTAAAGGATGAGGAGACAGACGGTACGGCTGATAAAGGCTGGTTCACACCACCCACCTGCAGCAAGAGTAGAAAACTGGATATTGACATAAAACTGGCAAATCTATTTTCTGTTCCACTCCAGTCTGCTGTTTCTGTACCACCTTCCCCTCAGCTCCTCTCCCACCCACCTTGCTGCACAACTCACCTTCCTATAACCAACTGGCCATTTATTGGGTTGATCTTTTTTTAAAAAAAAAATACTCTTTCAATACTATATTGAAGGGTAACTTACCTTCAGAAAAATTCATACATTCAGTATGAGCTTAATGAATTTTTACAGAATGA